AAGTGTTGTAACATCGCTAGAGGGCGCTCCCAGCTGCCTTCATTTCCATAGCTCACTGGTGAACTAGGGAGCTGAGCAAGAGAATGTGACTGTTCTGGTTTTGACAAGGGCGTGGAGATTCAAAATACTGCTCAGAATTTTATTGTACAAACCCAATGCGGTATTGGCTGAAGAGAACTTTACATGAGGAATGCACTGTAACTCAACTGCCATGGCTTCTGGATTGATATTTTTATAATTTGGATGGAGTGTGAATCCAAATTTTTATCCCAGCTAGTTGGACGACCACTTGCAGGACAGGATGCAGCTTAACGTCATACCAGGACACTGGAGGATTTGATAACACTAATATGGTTCACAGAAACGTTCATCATGCACTCAGACCACCGGCTGCTAATCCTGCTAGATCAGCTCCATTCCTGCCACTAGAGGCGCCATTTTCACCTGCTACAGGTCACCAAATGATTCAGCACTTTTTATTTACACATTGGATCACTGACCTAAGGGAGAAATTATGAGAATTACTAGCAGAACTGGACAATTCCTTTGCAACTTAAATGGCCAAACTCAGAAAGTGACATTCAAGAGTGTTTCACTTATCAAAATGGTTACTTCTGAAAATTCTGAAAAATAGTTGTTAAACTATCCCGAAGGTGTCTTATCAGTTAGGTTAATGTGAAACTGTAGAAAACACTCTTCCTGAAAACTTTATGACTGTAGACGTGTCATAAGAGGGTCTGTAACATGGCTGCTGCAGCTTCATCTCTGGACGAGGAGCTCTGCTGTTCTGTTTGCACAGATTTCTTCAAGGATCCTGTCGTCCTGAAGTGCAGCCACAGCTTCTGTAGAGTCTGTCTGCAGAAGTGCTGGGAAGGGAAGAGCTCTCGGGAGTGTCCATTATGCCGGAGGAAGTCCTCCATGACAGATCCTCCTGTTAGTGTAGTCTTAAAAAATGTTGTGGAGTCATATTTAAAGAAAAGAAGTGAATGTGAGGTAGCAGAGAAGAGTGAATCTCGCTGCAGTCTCCATGGAGAGAAGCTTCTATTCTTCTGTGTAGAAGACCAGGAGCCCATCTGTGTGGTCTGTCAGACTGCAAGGAAACACAGAGACCACCAGCTCTGTCCACTGGAAGAAGCTGTAGAGGATAAGAAGGTTGGTGACTAGCTCATCATGAAATGTTAGCATGTGTATTTAACAGCAATGTGGCTAATACTTCCATAGGCACTGCTTTGGTTTCTGTGGCGGTTTTACTTCATTTTTACATTAGTGACCTTTGTGCTGGTGTTACTGGTGACTGAGAAGAGGGATCATGACTCACTGTCAGTTTTCTAAACACAGTGGGAGTTTGTAAATATACAAACAAAGATCTGCTTATTTTCTATATGATTTATGTGTCACTGTGTTATGTGTCTGTACTTCCTGGGTGTCCCCTGCCCAGTGCCTCATAGTTTCAGGGTGTCCTCTTCCTAGTACCCTATATTTCTTTGGTGTCCCATGCACAGTACTGTATATTTCCTGGGTTCAGTTCCAGGTTCACCAAGACCCCATAAAGGATAAACAGTTATGGAAGGTGAATAGCTGGAATAATAACAATGTAAAAGAAGAAAGCTATGTATTACATGTCAGTCATATGTTGACTGTATCTCTCATTATATGCCTGCATATTTAATCTCAGGAGGACCTCAGAACTTCATTGATTTCATTAAAGGAAAAGCTGGAGAAGTTTACAAAAGTTAAACAAGAATTTGAGGAAACAGCCAAACACATCAAGGTATGGAGATTTATTCTGAGATAGTAAAACCTCACTGTACAGATTATCTTCAGACTTACACGGCATTTCTCACTTTCAGAGTCAGTCCCAGCAGACTGAGAAGAGGATAAAGGAGGAATTTGAGGAACTCCATCAGTTCCTGAGAGAGGAAGAGGAGGCCAGACTGGCTATACTGAGAGTGGAAGAGATGGAGAAGAGCGAGAGGATGAAGGAGAAGATAGAGAACATCTCCAAACAGGTCTCCACCCTGTCAGAGAAGATCAGAGACATTGAGAAGGCCATGGGTGCTGAGGACGTCTCCTTCCTGAAGGTAGGAGCTTGATTTTCCTGCATTTATCTGTGTGTTTGCTGACTGGGACAAACAGTCCTGCTGTGTGTCTGAAGCAGATATAAGGAGTTAAAACATCTCAGTGACACTGATCATTTTCACACAGCAATTTCATTCTTTAAGGTGTCATGGGTTTGCTGTGGAAAATTATGTATTTTTCCTAAATACTTCAATTTTGTTTTCGTTTTTTTCAGACATTGAGGAACACCAAGAAAAAGTATGTAATAACTATCTATGTTTTTAATGACTGTTTATCCAGTCATGTTTGAAATCAGCTATGGACAATCTCAGAATTCATAGGGCATAAGATGGAACCAGTCTACCCACCTCAACCAGTCTACCCACCTCTCTCTTTCTCATGTCACACAGATGCAAAGCGCAAGAGAAACATTTTATATCTGTTTTACACCTTAGTGGATATTTGTTGTATATTTCATAAATTTTGGTGATTTGGGAGAAATCATTAGTGGTATCAGTGTGAGGGAGTGATTCTTACATTAGTAGGCGAGACAGTGTTATGCTAAGCAGGATGAAGGACATGGGGAAGGAATCAGGGCAAACAAAACAGGTTTTTGTATAAAGAAAGGGAACAGACTGGAAAACAATTGTATCACACATGGGTAAACAGGAGCAGCAACGGTAATTACAGGAGTGGGAGGCATTTTATCAAGGAATAACAAGGGAGCAAATGAAAGGCAGCTGGAGTGAATCGCACAAGAGCAGGAATGAGACGTAAGACAAACGTGTAACAGTTTCCAGATCTTCGTGGAGTCAGTGGAGGGTCTTATTGGGGCTCTAGAGAGACTGAGCGAGGACTTTTGAATGTCTGGGATTGCAAGTGTCCTGGATAAAAACCAAAATCCAGGCCTTTAATGACCTCCTGGGCACAGCCATCAGCAGTGTGTCTGTCTGCGGGGAGAATGTCGACCTCGTCGAGAGATTCACTTACATCAACAGAGACATTCATGTTTCTGGCGACTGTTCCTATGAAGTCAGTAGATCAGGGGTGGCCAGTCTTATCCGCAAAGGGCCGGTGTGTATGCGGGTTTCCACTGCAACTCCCTAATTAGCTTACTAATCAGAGGACTGATTGGCTGAAGAGTCCTCACACCTGGGTTTAAACAGCTGACCTACAGGTTATCCCAAAAACCTGCACACACACCGGCCCTTTGCGGATAAGATTAGTCACCCCTGTAGTAGATGGACTGGGAGAGCATGGGGGGCAAGAAGGCAACGGAAAGGGGTGTGTGGCACTCCTGACATCTTTGTAAGAGGAGGAAGGTCCAAGTCATTGCAGTCCTGGAGCTCCCTGTCCTGCTGTATGGATCCTCTGATAAGGGTTGGGGAATTTGTGAGGCAGGATGGTTTTCATGACTGGCTCAGCACTAGCACCATAGGCAGGATAATTAGTTATTTAATGGATAACAAAAGAAAAATAACAATTATGAGTTATAGAAACATTGATTTGTGGTAATCAATGACTAATGGGTTGACAGTGGGTGGACACTTAGCCGACGTCTAAGGCAGGGGAACCAATCAGAAATGTGTGTCGACTGAGGGTGTGTTAGGGGTGTGTTAAATTGTTCATGGGTAAACTGTTGAAATATGATTTTCTGATTAATTACGAGATAATCAAATAAGTATAAGGAAACTATGTAAAATATGTAAATATAGAAGCTATTCTCAGTACTGGGGTAGACTGTCTCTTTGATCGATCAATAAATAAAACAAAATAAAGGACAATTATTAAATTATTATAATGGGAAATAATAATTAAATTTCCTTCTATTGTCAGAGATTTTTTTTTTAAACTAGTATTTTCAAGTTCCACAAAAGCCAATTGTGGGTTTTCAGTAATTAAATTAGCAAGTTGACCCACTGAATCACTGGAGATCTTATTCTGTTACTGTGGTGTTTAATACTGTTATAATTCACTGATCTGTCTACATATTCTATCTGTCATATTCACTCCTGTATTCTGGCCGTGCTGCAAACTCTCAGCCACCTTCCTCTGCAGTGTTTGACTCACTTCAGACCCCACAGCATCACTGACGCTTTCTGTCACTGTCTTTGCAGAGCCCAGTGCTCACTGCAGGACCCAGAGCTGGAGTCAGGGGTGCTGA